TCAAGTTTGCAGTAAGCTATGATAGCACCACTGTGCTCCAGACTGGGTGAAAGAGTGAAAGCCTATCTCAAAAAAAAAAAAAAAAAAAAAAACAACAAACCCGAAAACTGTTTTGCTTCCAGCAATTGGAAGAGATGGGTGCCGAGTGCTTTTAGCTTAGGTTCCCTGGAGCATAGTTTCAAGCTGCAAGCCCCTCTCCAGCTCATACCCCTAGATTACCCAGGAGTGATGAGCCCTTGACCAAGGCCCAGAGAAGATGCTCCAGTGCTGATTCAGACCACTTCCCTGCTGCTAGTAACACACCACGGAACCAGATTCACAGCTCTGGGCTTAGGATCGCCCTTGTTTCTCCCTCTAGTGGCCTGGGACTGGAAAAATCATTTCCAACAGCAGGGTTGAGAAGCAGCCCAAGAAGAGTGCTATTTTTATGTTTTACAAAATCCAGAAGTCCACTTTTTTTTTTGTTTTTGTTTTTGAGACAGAGTTTTGCTCTTGTTGCCCAGGCTGGAATGCAATGGCGATCTCAGCTCACAATCTCCGCCTCCCAGGTTCAAGCGATTCTTCTGCCTCAGTCTCCCTAGTAACTGGGATTACAGGCATGTGCCACCACGCCCAGCTAATTTTGTATTTTTAGTAGAGATGGGGTTTCTCCATGTTGGTCAGGCTGGTCTCAAACTCCTGACCTCAGGTGATTTGCCCACCTCGGCCTCCCAAAGTGCTGGAATTATAGGCATGAGCCACCGTGCCCAGCTCGTTTTTTAAATTAAAAAGTTCTGCTACTGGAACATTTCTTGCCCATAGCCCAATCTACACTCTTTCTTAGATCACAGGTCCATGTTAGCTGCCTGGCTCAGACCAGCAGTCTGGGCTGCCTAGATAGGATTTGTAAATGCCTTGTTCAACCAGCATGCCCTGTGCCAAGCACTGAGGATACAACATCAGGTATGGTTTCAACCTTCAGAGAATGTATGGTTTAATGGGTTCAAATTATCATACAAAGAAATGTAAAACAGCACTGTGATAAATGCAGAAGATGAACAAATGCTGCAGCTAAGAGCATACTGCAGGGACCTGACCTGGATCATGGGTCAGGGAAGGCTTCCCAAGGGACTGGTGTTCTTGGGATAAAAGCATATAGCAGGGATCTGAGCTGGAGTATCTTTTGTCATCTTGGGATCCCATGGAAAAAGACTGGCAAACTTAGTGTTTTTCTTTCTTTTGAGGCAGAGTCTCACTCTGTTACCCAGGTTGGAGTACAGTGGTGCAATCTCTGCTTACAGCAACCTCCGCATGCTGGGTTCAAGCAATTTTCCTGTCTCAGCCTCCCCAGTAGTTGGGATTACAGTTATGTGCCATCACACTCAACTAATTTTGTATTTTTAGTAGAAACAGGGTTTTGCCATGTTGGCCAGACTGGTCTCAAACTCCTGACCTCAGGCAATCTGCCCACCTCAGCCTCCCAAAGTGATGGGATTACTGGCGTGAGCCACTCTGCCCAGCTGCAAACTTAATGTTTTTCTAATGAACCAAAGAAGTGCCAATAATTGGGCACAGAAGCCCACCTTTTAGTGACAGATTTAAGAAAACATTCAACTGTGGCAAAGATGCTGGGGCACCTTGCACTTAATATACGTTTTCCTGAACTACTTCTGAACTGAAGAATAAAATACATCAGGGCCCTTCCCTCTCCCATTTAAGAAATTCATGGGAAAGTTTTAAGGATGAAATTGGAGGTAGAAGATGAAAAACACAGGTCAGACCAAAGCAGAAAACAAGATGCCTTAAAAAGAGCTGTGATATGAATATCTGTGGAAAGGAAGCCCAATAATTAATTTTAGGAAAAATAAGAATGAGGGCAAGAAATGATCTTACGGCTTTAGAAATAAGGTAAAAATATAACGCTCTAACAAGGAGAGAAAAATCACAGCATGAAGACTTGGTGAAATGCAACCAAGCTGTCATTCCTAATGTTCCTGGGCCTCAGTTTAATTCAAATGAAGATGTTGGACTGGATCAGTGGCTCTCAATTCTTAAGGTGCAAGAGAGTCACCTGCAAGGCTTGTTCAAACACAGATAGCTGGATCCCAGAGATTCAGTAGGTTTGAATTGGGGCCTGAGAATTTCGACTTCTTTGTTTTTGAGACAGTCTTACTCTGTCACTCAAGCTGGAGTGCATGATCACTGCTCATAGCAGCCTCTATCTCCTGGGCTCAAGTGATCCTTCTGCCTCAGCTTCCTAAGTAGCTGGGACCACAGTCACATGCCACCATGCCTGGCTGATTTTTAAACTATTTTTGTAGAGATGGAATCCCACTATGTTGCCCAGCTGATAATTCAGCTTTCTTTTTTTTTCTTTTTCTTTTGAGACGAAGTTTCACTCTTGTTACCCAGGCTGGAGTACAATGGCGTGATCTCGGCTCACTGCAATCTCTGCCTCCTGGGTTCAGGCAATTGTCCTGCCTCAGCCTCCTGAGTAGCTGGGATTACAGGCACGCGCCACCATGCCCAGCTAATTTTTTGTATTTTTAGTAGAGACGGGGTTTCACCATGTTGACCAGGATGGTCTCGATCTCTTGACCTCGTGATCCACCTGCCTCGGCCTCCCAAAGTGCTGGGATTACAGGTGTGAGTCACCGTGTCCGGCCTTTTTTTTTTTTTTTTTTTGAGATGGAGTTTCAGTCTTGTTACCCAGGCTGGAGTGCAATGGCGCGATCTCAGCTCACTGGAACCTCCACCTCCTGGGTTCAGGCAATTCTCCTGCCTCAGCCTCCTGAGTAGCTGGGATTACAGGCACATGCCACCATGCCCAGCTAATTTTTTGTACTTTTTTAGTAGAGACAGGGTTTCACCATGTTGACCAGGATGGTCTCGATCTCTTGACCTCGTGATCCACCCGCCTCGGCCTCCCAAAGTGCTGGGATTACAGGTTTGAGTCACCACACCCGGCCGAGAATTCAGATTTCTAATAAGCTCCCAGGTGCTGCTGCTGCTGGTGGAGCATACCAAGAACCAGAAAAAAAGCAAGCTTATTGCCACAGGACCCTGGGGTTTTTCTCTTTCCTCCTGCACAGCTTGGAAATGGTGTCTGTGGGGAGCCCTAAAATTCAGGAAGAAGACTGAGAGCCTCCAGAGCTCTGCCTCTGGACACACATCACCTTTCTGGTCTGCATTCAAGCCACAAGGGATGGCAAGGAGTCTCGAGTGACCACAGCAGCCTGGTTCCCCTTGAACCAACTTTCTGCTAAAGTGTTGACCTAGGTCTATTTCTGAATTCAATCTGGGAGCCACTGTCTGACCTCCCAAGTATTTGGTGACCAATGAATGAATAGCTCCAATGTCACACATCATCAGAGAGAGCTCTCTGGAAGAAACAAACAATAAGGCCAAAACGACTGAGTCATTACTTAGTCAAGTAACTATATGCTACTTGAATTGTGACTATGTCTTCTGTCATCCACCTTGTAATGTGTGTTATTTCTAGTTGCCTCAATTGGACTATGAAATCTGAAGGCAGGGAGGAGTCCCATCTAATATAGCTTTGAGTGTCCAAAATGACAACAGGACGGTGACTGGCACACAGGAGGCATTAAAAAAATATTGGCCGGGCGCAGTGGCCTATACCTATAATCCCAGCACTTTGGGTGGCCGAGGCGGGCAGATCACGAGGTCAAGAGATCGAGACCATCCTGATCAACACGGTGAAACCCCATCTCTACTAAAAATACAAAAAAAAAAAAAAAAAAAAAATTAGCCAGGCATGGTGGCACACGCCTGTGGTCCCAGCTACTTGGGAGGCTGAGGCGCAAGAATCGCTTGAACACGGAGGCGGAGTTTGCGGTGAGCCGAGATTGCGCCACTGCACTCCAGCCGGGTGACCTAGGAAGACTCCATCTCAAAAAAAAAAAAAAAAAACACAAAACTGAGGCTAGGTGTGGTGGCCCATGCTTGTAACGTCAGCACTTTGGGTGGCCAAGGCAGGTGGATCACCTGAGGTCAGGAGTTCAAGACCAGCCTGGCCAACATGGCAAAACCCCATTTCTACTAAAATTACAAAAATTAGCCAAGCGTGGTGGCACACATCTGTAGTCCCTGCTACTTGTGAGGCCAGGGCAGGAGAATCGCTTGAACCTGGGAGGTAGAGGTTGCAGTGGGTCGGGATTGTGCCACTGCATTCCAGCTTGGGTGACAAGAGCAAAACGCCATCTCCAAAATAAATAAATAAATAAAAATTGTTGGCTGAATGTTTACTGGTTTGTTTACTTACTAAACTAGGTTCTGATTTCTATTAAATGAAGAAAATAAGTTGGCTACAGTTGACTGGAAAGAGAAGAACAACAGGAACTGCAGGAGAACAGCTCAGCAGGCCATGCCCAGCCAGGGGCAGGAGGTTACCAAGCCCAAAACTTCCCAAGGGAAAGAGATGTCATGTGAGCAGGCTATCTTCAGATCCTGTCAGGGAAGCCAAACGCCGTCACAGCCTTCCTGCCCTCTGGCAATACAAAACTGCAGTTTGGCAGGAAGGGTGTGTGCTCACTATACTCAAGGGCTGACAAAACATGGGAAATGGTAGCCTTACTACACAGCCTCTCCTTCCTGTGGTGCTGTGTGCCTCAGAAATGGAAGAACAAACACACCAGTCACAACCAATTCCCCAGTGCCCAGGGCTCTGAACTCTAACTTCACAGAGGCAAACTTTACAGACTGAGATGCAACCATCTCCAGCCCCTTGATGTCTGTCTCTTAGAGTATTTCCTTAATTTCTGTTCAGAAATTTATGAATGGGAGGTAGGTTAGGCTATGTCTTTTTTCTCCTATAGTTATTAAGAACCCCCAACATGCCCTCCCAAAGCACTAGCTTCAGGGACAAGTGATGTCCCAGAGTTCTCCTCCCTGCAGATGCAAGCCTAGGAAGGTGCCCAGACTCAGAGGAGAGGAGTGACCCTCAGGGAACTGCCCAGAGGGAGACATGATCTGCCCCTGCTGCAGCCTGCTGGGCATACCTAGAGCCTTCACGGATATCTGCCGGGTGAGTGGAGGGGGGATGCTGATGCACACCAGATCCACATCTTGATGCAGCAAGACGTCATCGGTCCGGCTGGTGTAGAAGGCGACGTTCATCTCCTCAGCAAGCTGCTTCGCCTCCTCCTCGGTCTTCCCCCACAGGGCCTCAACAGTGAACCCTTCAGCCCTTAGCAGTGGGACCAGAACTCGGGCGGAGCTGCCAGTCCCAAACACACCCACTCCTGGCAGCATCTTCATCCCAGCCTCTCTCTTCACCCACTCATCTCCTCACAAGAGCCTCCAGCATGGATACGACCTTCCCAACGTCCTGGTCAAACATGGCTCCTAGAATAGCAAGCATTACACTGGTTATTACCAGAGAGGACACCCAGCTTAGGCTTTTTTTTTTTTTTTGAGATGGAGTCTCACTCTTGTCCTCCCCAGGCTGGAGTGCAGTGGCATGATCTCAGCTCACTACAGTCTCTACCTTCTAGGTTCAAGTGATTCTCCTGCCTCAGCCTCCCAAGTAGCTGGGACTACAGGCATGTGCCACCAGCCCAGCTAATTTTTGTATTTTCAGTAGAGACAGGATTTTACCATGTTGGCCAGGATGGTCTTGATCTCTTGACCTCGTGATCTGCCCGCCTCAGCCTCCCAAAGTGCTGGGATTACAGGTGTGAGCCACCGCGCCCAGCCCGAGGATAATTTCAAATAAGGAAGCAACAAGTCTCTTCCAGAAAAGCACAAATGAAATACTGCTGGAGGCCAGGAAACCCCAGCTCTTTGGGAGGCCGAGGTGGGAAGATCACTTGAGGCCAGGAGTTTGAGAGTAGCCTGGGGAACATGGTGAGATGCCATCTCTATACAAAAAAAAAATTTAAAAATAGCCAGATGTGGTGGCCTGCACTTGTAGTCCTACCTACCTGGGAGACTGAGGTGAAGGGATTACTTGAGCCCAGGAGTTCACAATTGTAGTGAGCTATGATTGTGCTACTATACTCCAGCCTGGGCAACAGAGCAAGACCTTGTCTCAAAAGGAAAAAGAAATACTGTTCCAAGATTAAAAACTGCAGAATCTTCTTCCATGGAGACTGAAGGATAGGAGGAAAAACGAAAATGAATAAAGCTGGGTTTAAATCCCTGTTCTGCTACTTAATTTTCTGTGCAACCCCGGTCAAACCACTTAACCTTCAGGGCCTTAAATGTATAATAAGGGGAGTGATTGATCTTTAGGACTGCGTCTTGCTGTAAAAGTTCATGATTCTATATAGGACAAAGAAAAAGAGCGTAGGCCTGGCATGGTGGCTCACGCCTGTAATCCCAGCACTTTGGGAGGCCAAGACAGGTGGATTGCCTGAGGTCAGGAGTTCAAAATCAGCTGGCTCAACATGGTAAAACCCCATCTCTACTAAAAATACAAAAAAATTAGCCAAGTTTGGTGGCAGATGCCTGTAATCCCACCTACTTGGGAAGCTAAGGCAGGAGAATCTCTTGAACCTTAGAGGTTGAGGTTGCAGTGAGCCAAGATCGCACCACTGCACTCCAGCCTGGGTGACAGAATGAAACTCTGTCTCAAAAAAAAAAATTAATTAAATAAAAAGAAGAGTGGAAAACAAAAACCAGTTCAAGAGAAAAGTGAAAGAACTAATTGCCTCCTTCACTCTCATTGGGGTTTTATCTGAACCATCTTTTTTTCTTTCTGATGGTAAACAATGTCTGTGGCCACTCAGCCTGCTTTTCTTTTCCACTTTCTCCGTCTCTCTCTCTTTCTTTTTTTTTTTGAGATGGAGTTTCACTCTTGTCACCCAGGCTGGAATGCAATGGTGCAATCTCAGTTCACTGCAACCTCCACCTCCCAGGTTCAAGTGATTCTCTTGCCCAGCCTCCTGAGCAGCTGGGACTACAGGCACCCACCACCATGCCTAGGTAACGTTTGTATTTTTAGTAGGGATGGGGTTTCACTATTTTGGCCAGGCTGGTCTCAAACTCCTGACTTTGTGATCCTCCCGCCTGGGCCTCCCAAAGTGCTGGGATTATAGGTGTGAGCCACTGTGTCTGGCCTAATTTTTGTATTTTTAGTAGAGGCAGGGTTTCGCCACATTGGCCAGGCTGGTCTGGAACTCCTGACCTCAAGTTCCACCCACCTTGGCCTCCCAAAATGCTGGGGTTACAGGTGTCAGACACTGCATCTGGCCACCAATCTTCCTCTTTTCTCTTTGCCAATTCTGCTCTTATAGCCTTCTCTTCAAGTTTCCTTAGAAAACAGGTTAAACACACAGTTATCTTCTACAATTTTCATGTCCTGGACTCCCTTCAGCTATTTTGGTCACTGTCTGCTTTTACAGGTGTTTTGGTTATTTAGAAGTTATGGCTATTCAAGGAGCTTGACAGTGTCAAGTCTGCAGCATTAGGTAAGTAGTGAGATTCTACTTTTTTTTTTTTTTGAGACAGAGTCCTGTCTCTGTCATCCAGGCTGGGGTACAGTGGCATGATTTTGGCTCACTGCAACCTCAGAGTTCCAGGATCAAGTGATTCTCCTGTCTCAGCCTCCCAAGTAGTTGGGACTACAGGCATGTGCCACCATGCCCGGCTCATTTTTGTATTTTTAGTAGAGACAGGGTTTCACCATGTTGGCCAAGCTGGTCTTGAACTACTGACCTCAGGTGATCTGCCCACCTCAGCCTCCCAAAGTGCTGAGATTACAGGCGTGAGCCACCATATCTCGCTAAGTTTTCTTGGCCATTAATTACCAGCTGTTACAGGGTCAAAGGAGTGAGACACATTCCATGTCTTCCGTAAATTCATGCTGAGGGCACACATCCCTCCACTCCCACACTGTGTTCCTTCTCACTCTAGTTGTATTTGAGTATATATAGGAAATATATATACCCACTACACAGGAAATCTTTTTTTTTTTTAAAAAAAAGAAAAGATCTATGACCGATTTAGATGTCTCCTCTTTAAAAGCTGTGTAGGAATATGAGGATAACAATTTTGAGCTAATATGAAGTGAAAAAAAATATATGAGTATCAGTGGCTTAAACAACAGAATGGAATGGAAAAAATTTTAATAACCTGTTTTATTACCACTGACTCAAAGGGAAGCTTCATCAACACCCATAAAGGGGTACTGGCTGGACCGAGGAAGCCAGATGACATGAAGTAAGACAGGTTTGCTGACTAGATATTTTCTGCCCAAGCAGGCAGAGCTGGTTTTCCCTGATTATTTCAGTGGCTATTCTTTCTCACCCCTAAAATTTCCCCACTCTCTGTCCTTAACATCCTTGCACTTATTCTTCATATGCCTCCAAAGATCTCTACAAATCCAGTCCTGCCAAGGCCACATGCATTTCCAATTGCCACATGCTGGTCAGGAACGAAGGGTGCCTTGGCAGGACAGGCTATATACAATTTGACAAGGCCACAGGTTACAGGGAAGGCAGTACAGAGGTTAGAGACATGGAGCCCGCAGCTACCTTGCCTAGGTTCAAAGCCTGGCTCTGTCACTTACCAGCTGGGTGACCTCAGGTTAAGTCCCTTAGTCACTCTGTGCCTCCATTTCCTGATCTGTAAAATGGGGAAATTTTATCTACCTCACAGGGAATTTAAGGATTGAGTTAATAATATTTTGTGGCCAGACGCGGTGGCTCACGCCTGTAATCCCAGCACTTTGGGAGGCCGAGGCGGGTGGATCACAAGGTCAAGAGATAGAGACCATCCTGGTCAACATGGTGAAACCCCGTCTCTACTAAAAATACAAAAAATTAGCTGGGCATGGTGGCACATGCCTGTAATCCCAGCTACTCAGGAGGCTGAAGCAGGAGAATTGCCTGAACCCAGGAGGCGGAGGTTGTGGTGAGCCGAGATCACACCATTGCACTCCAGCCTGGGTAACAAGAGTGAAACTCCGTTTAAAAAAAAAAAAAAATTTGTAAAATACCTATAATTGGGCCTGGCCAATTAGATATGAGTCAGTATACAGGGAATTTTTTTCTTAAAAAAAGATATTAACTATCTATGACTGACTTAGATGTGTCTTCAAAAGCTGTGTAGAAATATGGGAGTCATAATTCTGAGCTAATACAGAGTGTAATAAGCCAGCCAGTGTTTAGTTTGTCCCTAGGTCCATGCAGCCCTGTTGTACAGATGAGAAAACATGCTCAAAAAGGTGAGGTAACTCTCCCAGGGTTCCACGTCTGGCTGTGTGAACAACCTGCTACAACCAGCATGAAACTTCGAGCAGGTCACCTTTGAGCAGGTTACTTCGCTTCTCTAAGCTTCCATAAAGGCAAGAAAGAAAAAGTCATTTTGTAACATGTACATGTGTGGTGCAACCTTAGTGATGAATGTGAGCCAGAGAAGTTCCTTCTGTTACCCACCCTGATGGTGACTGTTTGCCTCTGATCCACTGTTCAAAACCAATACTAATTCATTCATGTGTCTTACTATTCCCAAGGAGCTAACAGGGATGCTGTGGGACATAAAAAGATGAAAAGTCCTAATTTCAGGGGTGACAAGTCAGAAAGGTGAGTAGGAACCAGAGCTGATGGCATGAAGTGTTAATCTCAGGAGTTTAAACGTTGACAGGTGGGTGTGCTAGGTATTCTTGGTCTCCCCTTCCTGCCCTAACTGATCCTGTGTGCCCTGCTTTTTGTTTCCAGAGTCAGAAGGTCAGTCTCTAAAGGCCTGGGCTCCAGGTCCCTCTGGCTCTTTTTTTTTTTTTTAAGATGGAGTTTCACCATGTTGACCAGGCTGGTCTTGAACTCCTGACCTCAGGTGATCCGCCCACCTCGACCTCCCAAAGTGCTGACATTACAGGCGTGAGCCACCGTGCCCAGCCCTCTTTTTTTTTAAAGACAGGGTTTCACCATGTTGGCCAGGCTGGTCACGAACTCCTGACCTCAGGTGATCCGTCTGCCTCGGCCTCCCAGAGTGCTGGGATTACAGGTGTGAGCCACTGCGCCCAGCCTCTAGCTTTCATCTGAGTCCAGCCATGGGAAAGCACCAGGAAGAAGAGATCGGCAAGCAGGAAGAAGAGATCGGCAAGCAGGAAGAAAGGTCACAGTGTTTATTCTCTGCCAGGATGTGGTTCTGGCAGGAGCTGTGCTCCTCAACAAACGTCACAGCTCCTTTGGAGGACCCCTCTCCCATGACCATTGCTTTTGCTGGGTTCCAGTGACATACCCTCACTCCCTCATTGCACCTGGGGTGGTGACACTACCTTGCCAGTCCCTGGGTACTCCACCATCCCTTGTATGTTTCCTTTACTACTCACACTGTTGTGAATAATCCCTTCATTAAAGGCTTTTTTTTTTTTTTTGAGACAGAGTTTCGCTCTTGTTACC